TGTCCTCGCCCCGACCTCAGTGTTGCCTTCTCGAACGGTCCCGCCGTTCAACGCGGGCAACAACGGTTCAACCACTCAAGCTTCCTCTTCGCGAGCGGGGGCACAGCAACCCAAGTCGAAACCCCCCGTGGCGCCCAAAGGCCCAGCCCCCAAAGCTCCCAGCAAGCAGCCGGCCGAGGGCAAAGCTCCCGGTCTGCAGCTCCTCGCGCGGATAAACAAATCCGGCAAACCCACCACCGATCAGCTCGCGTACGTTCTTTGCCCCTCTGTCTCTACCTCTTCGCGTCTTTCTTCTGCTGCTCGCATGCACGCCCGACTGACCCGTGTGACAGGCTTCTCGCGCGCCAAAAGGCCAATATGAAAAAGGGCCCCGGCAACGACCTCCTCGCTCGACTGGCCAAGCAGAAACCCACGACACCCGTGGCCAAGGCGAAAGCCGCCAAGGCCGCGACGGGCGCGGCGAAAGTCGGGAGAGCAAAAGCAAAGGTCAACAAGGACGCGATGGACGTGGATCAAGCAGGACCGGGAGCTGGAGGTGCGGGCAAGGCGAAGAAGGACCGACCGAAGCCCAAGACCCAGGAGGAGTTGGACGCCGAAATGGCCATGTACGAACGGCAACGACGGTTCGGCGCGGCCGCTCAGTGAGGGAGGGCAGGGAGCGAAAGGAGGGAAGGGCGGTAATGATGTGTCGGGACAGTCAGACTGTCGCGTATTTGGGAATCTCTCCAGAACAAAGGAGGCGCGCAAGGTGGGGAGTCCAGGTAGAGGAGAGTCCAAACAACGAGGCGGTGAGAGACAGTACAGTCTCTTGTCCTCCCCGTCCCTTGTCGAGCCATGCAATCCGGCGAGGGTCACTCGGGTTTACACAAAGGTGCCATCTAACCTATCTGACCTGCCGATCACTCACCCCTTCTTACCTTTCTGACCACGTGAGATCCTTTCACCCTGTGTCCCCTGATAGATCGCCCAGTACACTGCGCCGACCAGCCTAGCCACTGTACAAAACCCCCTCCCCTCTGTCCCCAACTCTCCATCGCACCATCATGGAGATAATCGGTGAGCAGCACGCATCTCAGCTAGAACGCTCATCTGCCAGGTCTCCAGTGTCTCGCGGCGACGCTGGTCATCATCTCGTTCATCCTTGCCCTCCTCATCAATGCGATACCCGATCCTGGCTTTATTGAAGCCGGCAAGGAAGTCCCCGCAAAGCAGGGTGCGTGGGACGAGGAGAAGGGCTCTCGACGGGAAAGGAGGGCGAAACGAAGGCAGGCGAGATCTTCCACCGGTCAGCAGAAACCGGGTCCGGCGGCTGAAGGAAACCAACGGCGGATGTCCGGGGCACAGAGCGGCTCGAGGATGGAGGCGGAGCCACCAGAGATCGAAACTCTTTCCGAGCTGGAGGCTGCGGAGCGGGCTGAGCGGCTAGCGAAGCGGCAGAAGGCGGAGGAGGAACGGAGACGCGCCGCGGATCGGGGAGTTGAAGGGGACCAGCGAGCCGGACAACCAAAGCCTAGGAGTAAGTCCGGTCCCCATTGGACGTCGACGGGAAAGGCGACGAACTATTTCGACCCCGAGTAACCCTGTCATGAATGATAGAAACCCAGCTACTTGAATGTCATCCTCCTGGCTCTTTGCCACTGTCACCCGCGGTCCACGGATTCCTTCCTCGCACTCTGTCAGCTTGTACCATGTATTCGCCAAGGATGGAGAGATGACAAGACGTGGTAAAGGGCGGTAGCCCCGCACCCTGGGAAGTCGATGAGGTTCCAAAGATATCAAGCGTGGACAGCAGGATGCCGAGGAGATGGCATCAGTCTTCAGTCTGAACTACCCCGCTGTCTCGAGGTCTAGCCATCTCTTTTCGAGGCTGTTAGGCAATGACCATGGGTACCTGAAACCGAGATCCTAGTCTGGCCAGCGATTGCATTCCCTATCCCCTGGCACTGGCGACTCTTGTGTCTATTCCCTACGCTGCGCTTGTCGTTGTAGATCGGCCAGGAAGATCTTGCGAATTGACACGTCTCTCACCGGAAACAGCTTGCATGCCGGCAAGCGTCTCGACCTCGTGGAACCTGTATTCTCCAACTCTGTCACAAGAGGCATTCAGGGGTAGGAGCGCGCTCACTTCTGGGAGCATCGAACGGCCAGAAGACAGCCGTCGTCCCGCATACGTTACGAAGCCAAAGGCGCGATACCCCCAGATCAGCGATGCATCAGACATCGAAAAAGTGTCGTTACTCGGCGGGACGCTCTACAACCTCGACAAGGTCCTTCCATCCTGCCAGCTTCTCCACATCGACACCCAAAGTCAAAGCGTCCGCCTTGAGCGCGTGAATGTCCGCTTGCATCTGCTTTTTGAACCGTTCCTCCTCTCCAGCCCCTTCATCGGGCTGAGAGCCGCCACCGCCTCCAAAGATCGAGAACCCCCCTTTCTTTGACTTTCGGTGTCGTCGAAGCAGATCTTCTGTCTTTCGAACACCAGCAAGGATCCCAGCGTATGCGCCACAGACCGAGTCGACGATCCGGACGGACCAGTCGTCGCCGTGTGCCTTGAGCGACGGCCGCGCGGCGTAGAACGAATGGACCGGTTTCAGGATCGAGGGAACAAAGTAGGATGGGGTAATTTCCGCCGTCTTGCTCGGCGCAGCTCGGAGTTGCGAGGCCACCGAGCGAACGAGCTTGAGCGATTCGGTGCATCGGCGAGATAAGATCTCGACGATTTTGTCTGAAAATTGCGTGGTCGGGATGGACATATGCACTGAGCGGTCAACGCTGACGCCAATGGACCCACTCACCTTCCAATCCATTCTCGGTGAGCGCGTTGATGGTCTTAACCTTTTGACTGAACCGCTCCAAGTCTAAGATTGCTGACGCCGCGAACTTGAGAGACTGTTCCTCGACCGTCTCGTCCACCTCGCCCTCACTTGCAGAGCTGATTTGAGACTGCAGCCAGGACGCATATCGCGCGGTGATCTGGAGGCTCAAGCGCCAGAATCGACTCGCCAAGTCTGGGATGTACACTTCTGGAACCCAACATGTCGAGATTGCCTTCCACGCCGCGGCACTCTGGCCCAGCGCCCATTCTCCAGACGGGGGAGGGGTGCTTAGGGCGGTTTCAAAAGTCGTGACGATCTCTTTCCACCGCAGCTGGAAGTACACGGGCAGCTGCCATCGTTTCTCAAAGACCGAATAAGCCGTAGAGGCGCGAAGCGCGGCGACCGAGTCGGGCGATGTCGCGTAATTCTCGAGGAGCGAGATGAATTGGTGCGTAGTTGTATAGTGCTGATATTGTCAGATGCGATGACGGTCGCGACTCACCTTGTGCAGCTCATCCGGTCTGCCCGCGGCGAAGATGACGTTGCCAAGCTTTTCGCTGATTGACTGGGCGATCTCTGGCCAGAACACCGCGGTGAGGAAGTCAAATCTGTCCGACAATCCCTCCGCGACGTCCATCAACGTCTTGTACGTCTCCATTTCGGCGAGGATCCGGTTGTACAGTACAGCAAGAGGTGTGGAGGCGGGTAATGTCTCGAAGGGGTCGCGGTGCGACGGCGTGATCGGTGTCTCGGGGACAGAAGGACCCTGAGGCGCACTAAGAGCCGCTGGTACAATGGTCTGCATTGTTAGCCTAGGTGATGAGACGAGTATGGAAGCGCGACAAAAGCGATCGGCCAGAGATACTCACCGCGTGACAAAACGTCCTGAAACGATCCCTGATCACCGTCTCGGCCTCTTCCCACCCTTCTATCGATTCGTACGTCTTGAGCACCTGCGTCAAGTGGGCCGCGTCGTCCAGTGCAACCAAGAGTGACCGCGAGAGCTCTTCGCTCAGTCTCCGCCGTATCCCCTGAATGCGAGGCGCCATCGAGTCGACCACTTTGCAACCCTCCGCCTGGGCCTTGTTGGACAGGTAGACAAGCTGAGTATACTCCCCAGCTACCCTTTGCACCATTTTCGACCTCTCCTCTTCGTGACTCGCTTCCAAGAGGTTCTCCGCGCGTGTGAGGGTCTCAAACAGCCGTTGCAGCAGGTCGAGCAGTGACTCCAGGGTCAGCTCGTTCAAACAGTCCAACCCTCACCTTCTCCTCCCTCAGCGATGCTCGCTCGTCCAGCTTGGCCTGGACTTCCTCCTGATGACGCGAAAGTACGTCCCGCACCCCGCCCACCTCGTCCGCCAGCCCCTTGAGGGGCGCTTGTAACCGTCTCAACCGCTCATTCTCGCCTCGCAGCCCCGTCCCAAGCGAGATAAATTCCTCGTAATCGTCGTTGATCAGCTGCACGAGCTCCTCCCGCAGTACAGCGAGGTACGACCGCAGCTCTCCGCGTAGCTCTTCCAGCGGGATATGGAGCCGAGAGAGGAGGAACGTGTCGGCAGAGAATGTCGGGCCCGATAACAGGGGGTGTTCGTGCGATAACGGCTGCAGCGAAGGGAGCTCGAGTGATTGAGATGAGGACCGTGGTGATGGCGAGGAGGAAGACTCCCCGACCTTGACGGCGTCCATTTCCGTCCCGCAGTACCGGAGCAAGGGATAGAGGTGAGTGCAACAGGTCAATAGCGTCGAGACATAGGCTGCTGCATCATGGACGTCGCGTCAGTCGGTGTTCGCCGCCGACCGCGCCTCTGGTGGCGTGGCGATAGCAAAGCTTGAAACACACCTGCACGATGCGAACGAAGGGCCAGCCATGGTTTCTGTGCTCCGTGGGGACGTGTGGGCTGAAGCATCGGCGTATAAGGCCAGGTCTAGAGCTTCCCGGAGCACTGTACGGATAACACTTCATCTGAACGCAACCAGACGTTCTAAAGCTTGCGACTGGACCAAGCCTTCACGCACAATACCTCCCTGTCCATTCTTGTCGTCGCCGGGAACTTTTGCGATTCCGAGTCTTCGATTGGCCCTCTGCGTGTCGCACTGCGACATGCAGCTGGAGCTTGGCGTCTGATGTCCCAGGGACTGGCGAGAATGACCTTGGTCTCGAACAAAACAAAAAAGATAATCAAATCTCCCGACTGTGAGTCGAACACAGGGCCTTCCGAGATGACTTAGTTAACTATTACAGTCGGACGCTCTAGCCATCTGAGCTATCAGGAGTGAATTGCTCATATGAGCACGTGAGCGTGCTTCTTGTGCTAACTTATGTACGCCACACAAGGTCTCGCTCAAGAGGACAGTCTAATGCAATAGCTGTTTCAGACTTTATCATCCACGTATTTTTGCATGAACACGTAGCTTGGAGGGCACTCCTGATTGATTGTGGGTAAGGCTCTACAAAAAGCATACCAAATGGCAAAATGGTGACGGCGAGCATCTTGTGGGCGACCGTCCTCTTGTTCCCCTGCTATCGGGGATCTGCGGATATCGATCACCCTCCCCTCGACGACCGTCCGCGCCATCAAAGCTTTTCTTCGACACTCTACGCGCTTATTCTGGACGGATGTTCCCATAGTGGGCGGCGTTTGGGCGCGGTCAATCCGCGATGTCGCTCGGCCACTGAAGATACCAAAAAAGCGAAAAGCAAAAAGCAAAAAAAAAAAAAAAAGGAAACTTAGGGGAAAAAAATGAAATGATGAATCTCCCGACTGTGAGTCGAACACAGGGCCTTCCGAGATGATTTAGTTAACTATTACAGTCGGACGCTCTAGCCATCTGAGCTATCAGGAGCAGATGCTTAATCATCGGATGATCAAGAGGACTGTCACATTGTTATATATGATTCCTGTGGGACCGAGCTTCGGTCGTTAAGCGCAACTGCAGCCTCTGTGGTTAATACTGACCTTCGTGGTGACCGTACCGGAACAGCCGTGAGTCATAGGCCTGGAACTCGGGGTCAACTTGCGAGCGTCGGCATCTACACCAGTCGGCACACACAAAGCAGTATACAACATGCCTTTCACGACGTGTGGCAAGCGGCTTCGCTCGCCGCTCCAAGGTGGGCTTGCTCGGTCGTGAAGCCATGGGGCGTACTGGAGTCCACACTGTTGGGGGAGAGACAAAATGAGGTAGTCTATTCAGAACTACCTTCATAATGCATTTCGGTGGACTGATGGGTCAACTTTCCTGTTCCTCTGGAATTTGGCCGCATCCATTTCCGCACGCAATGGGCAGGGCTGGTGCGCTCTTCGCCATCGAAGAATGGAAGTGCCACGAGTTCAACATGCGTGACATGTCTGAGCATATTCATCGAGCGTACTGGGCCAGAGGAGGAATAAGACTACGACGCGTAACGACTGTCAGTGGAAGTCATGAGCCTATTGCTGGGAGCCGACACAGGAATCGAATGGTATTCTCTAACACCGCCCTTGACCGGCTCGTAAAGGTAGGTCATCGCCATGCCCGGCGTCGTGGGGATTTTCTTCCTGCTGCGAGCAAGCTCTTTCTCCTCCTCTGCCTTAGGCTTGAGCATCTCAGACAACTCTGTAGCGAAGATATAATAGATGAGCCCGGCAAGGCAAATGACACCTGCCTTGCGATGGACTTGAATCAGTCTCGATCATCCTTCTGCCTGCGCGATACCACTCACAGAGTCCGAGAACGACAATGCCACACAATATCTTGAGGTTTGCGAGGCGCTTGGCCCACTTCTTGCGGCCGTCCTGGTACGCCTTCATCTCCTTCTTCGCTCTTTTCGCTCTCTCGTTCTCCTTGTCCTGCATCTCTTCGAGCATCGCCTCTCTTGCTTCTGGCGTGTCCCGCTGTTTGAAGTGACCGCTTTGCACCTGTCAACAGGAATCGCTCGAAGACAAAGGACTCTTACACATGTGGGGTATTGCCGGCCTCCCACCAGAGCTCCCCTTGCAAAGCCTTGCTCCCGCCAGCTTTGCCGAGCGGAAAGGGAAACAGCCTCGGCTTGCCATCTCTCGTGGTCAGAAACTGCGAAGGATGCGAGGAGACGTTATCCCATGCATCCTTTTTCTTCTCTAGCTGGCTAGCCTTGTCCAGCTCGCGTACCCGGTGTTCTTCGGCCAATCTACTGACCCTCGCTCGATGCATTGTCACTTGATTCGATACGATGGCGTGTATGATCAGCGTTCTACAGGCATTAGTATGACCCTGCACGGAGGACCAGATACCTCACATGACCAGCAAGACCATTGCTCGGTTCCACATCCCCACGAGTCGGGCGATGTCTGGCGGAAGGTCCAGCTGGGAAGTCGATAGCGAGACTGCGCCGAAGAACAGCACAGTCAGGTGAAAGGGTGTCAGTGACCTGGGGCTCAGCACCTCCGTTAAGATGGCACTTACATCCCATGGGGGCCAGTCAAGGGGTCAGTCAAGGCGTCTGTGGACATTGTGAGGATCACAGGTGGAATTCAGACTGATCGTTGGGGACTCGATGTCCAGTCATAGATGGACGCGAGGAGCTGGACAGTCAAAGGAGCCATGGGGGTTTCAAGTATCGGCAGATTGATTGTAACTGTTTCAGTACTCTAGCATGGCTTTTGAAGCTCTCAATGCCTTGGCGGTGAAGAGAGTGCAGAGACTGAAAAAAACCAGGGCCGCGAATATCATATCGGCCAAATGACTTGGAACCCCCCCCCCCCCCACCGCGCCCCCCAAACGTCATGACGTCGACCCACCATTTTATGCGCGTTGCAACGCTTAGTCGCGAATTGCCCCTTTGACCTCGTCTCATCCATCTTCTCCCTCCATACCCCACCCGTTCGGCCACTACATCCACGATGCCGACTCCTCCCTCGGATCGCTCTCCCAGGTCATCGCCAGTCCAGCTGCCAGATGGACCGGGCCCATCAACGCGACCACGACGGACGGTCCGATTACCTCCTAGACTACCCGACGAATCGAGTTCTGATGAGGAAGAGGGGCCCATCGGTGTGCCTAATCCAGCCGATAGCTTGCTTGCCGACAGCGATGGTGAGTCATAAACATCAACGCAGCTGACGGTAGCTCGCTACCCGTCCGAGACGTCCCCACAACCCCGCTCGCACTATTCCCAACCCAGGCTGCAGCGCTCAACGACGAGCTCCTCGGGATCACGCATCCACAACACGCTGCCCCTCTCGCACACTGCCATAGACGCCAACTGGCAAAACTGGCGAACGACCGTGAATCGCTCAACAAGTTCAAGATCAGCCGGCAGCGCAGGCCGAGCAGAGAGCTCTGACCCAAACATCAAACCATACTGGGTCTCCCAGCTGCACGCCCCCGGTGACGATGATGACGACGTGCCTTCGGACGACGAAGACGAGCTGGGCAATCCAGCACATGATATGGGCCAGATTGACTCCAAACACGCTCTCATATCGCCCCCGGCACCTTCTCGCACACCCTCAAATTCTGCCGAGGAGAGAGAACGGCTGGAATGGCAGAGCATGCTGGCTTCGGTATTGGCTGGTGATGTCTTGCAGGAGGAAACGTCGAGAATAGGGGAGGAACGTGGATCCGATGAGACGTTCCGGGCTGAACTGGGAAGGAAGCTATGGTGGGAGATTCGAGCAAGACTAAGGAATCGGACGAAGCAGGAGGAGGAGCAGCGCGTCGAAGAGCGAAGGAATCGAGTCGTCGATGCGGTGCTCGAGGAAGTGGAAAACTTCACCGTGATGCGAAGTCCTGGCCCTGCGGGAGTCGGGAGAAGGTTATCCGCCGAGGACGAGAAGGAAGAGAAGCAGGTTACCGACGGAGCGAACGGCGAGGATGCGAAGGACAAGAAGGCAGAGGTCTCCGCGCTCGACCAAGTATCCTATATCCTTCAAAAGCTCAGCCTCGTCGAGGGATTGTATCCCCACACGGGGGCCTTCCGTGCCGCCAAGCACACGTACAACTCGGAACAGTTCCAGGCTCGCGTCGATGCGCTCACATCGTGGTCAACAGTGGTCTACCTGCTCCAGACGCAGCTCGTGACGCTCCAGAAATGGACGGGCTCTGACGACCTCGACATCACCAAGCCGAACACCACAAAAGAGAAAGCGCTGGTAGGGAAAAGCCGATATCACCCTCTCGACGGGAAGGCGCAGGCGAAAGCGCTCAACGATCAAGCAGCTGATGATACGACCTTCCTGGAGCGTATCATGAAGGAGGATAGTCTGCAACGTGTTTTCGAAAAGCGTATCTTCAGAGACCTCACGACGCTCATTCTCAACGCCCGGGAAACCGTCGTCAACCACCTCCCTGTATTTGATGAGCTGAAACTCCCCGATTTCCAATTCGAGCTGGTCCGCCTGATAGGCTTCCCAGGCAGACTTGTCATCGAAGCGCTCAAGGTCCGTCTGGACGCAGCACGCAAGTTAGTCGACCCCAACGCGATGGTCATCAACGACATGGTGGACAACTTTCGCACAACAATCAGTCTCGCAGTTAACATCAAGAAGCAGTATCTCGAGATCACCGAGCCAGACGTAGATGGTCGATGGCAGATCCCGCCTTGCATGCCTCCTGAGTACGACTCTGTTCTGTTGGACGCTCTGCGGATGTTCTTCCGTCTCTTGCATTACACGCTCAAGGCGGGGAGCAAGACGATTTACTTCAGAGAGACAGATGTGCTCGAGGGGGAGATGGAGTTCCTGTCCTCGGCTGCGGAATGTTGCCCCGGAGGGGACATGGTTGTGGCAGAACACTTATGGTAAGTCTCGCTCTATGGCGACGCTGACCCAAGTTCCGTTACGAACAAGCTCATGAGTCGAGTGGTAAGATACTTTGACCGGCAGCTCATGGATCCCATCAGCCACTCGAACAAGAACAAGAAAGGGGATTCCGCCAAATCCATGCCGCCGCTCATCCGAAGAGCCCAAGACATCGATCAGGTCAAGATGCATTCGGCAAGCCGGACGATGACCACGGACGAAATGCTGGTATGGTACGGAAAGATTCTAGACGCGGTTCGAATGCGATATCGAAAACTGCAACGATTTGCCCGCCGATTGACGTCACGCTATGATACCTCTGCGGAATACGAGTTCGCCGAGGATGACCTTCAAACCATTATCAACCAACTAGTCGACTCGGACCACTTCCTTGTGTGGAACGAACAATATGCGGCCCAAGGAACCTATATCATCGCACCCATATCTCTCTGGAACGATCCTGGTGCAGTGCAACGTCTATTGAGCACCGTACCAACGCGAAGCGGCCAGACG